TTCTGAGTACTAACTTACATGACTTATTTTCGATCCGCAATCTTAAAATATTTGGTGGAGCTCAAGATGGATATATCACTGTGTAATCAATAACTTTACATAGTGCAGCCAAGTGCTATTTATATTTGATGTAGAAGTAATAAAAAATGTATTTAGTACTCATTAAATGTAAGTGATAAATTATTAATGATTTTACCACTAAAAATATCGCAAAATTGTAAGTTTATAACGAACTTCTTAAATTGTAAATGTATCCCTAAAAAGCAGATGTTTCGAATAGCATTCTCTTTGTCAGGCATTTACTTGACAAGATTTGTTTCAAAATTGAAAGGTTACGGAAGGCTACTTCCAAGACTATTTCACAATTTCTATTTTTGAAATTACTCATCGAAACATGTAATATGTCGTAAAGCATTAGAATTTCAGAAGACAATATTGTTTGTGAAACTATTTACATCTAGCCAGATTGACCATGGCCACTCAATCAGTAAATAATGCATTAAGTAAATCAAATGTAGTATCAAATGTAAGATTGTTGTTGTAGGTATGAGTGTACCAAATGTAAGATTGTTGTTGTAGGTATGAGTGTATCAAATGTAAGATTGTTGTAGAATGTATAAGTGTATTAAATGTAAGATTGTTGTAGAAGGTATGCGTGTATCAAATGTAAGATTGTTGTTGAAGGTATGAGTGTATCAAATGTAAGATTGTTGTAGAAGGTATAAGTGTATCAAATGTAAGATTGTTGTAGAAGGTATGAGTGTATCAAATGTAAGATTGTTGTAGAAGGTATGAGTGTACCAAATGTAAGATTGTTGTAGTAGGTATGAGTGTACCAAATGTAAGATTGTTGTAGAAGGTATAAGTGTATCAAATGTAAGATTGTTGTAGTAGGTATGAGTGTATCAAATGTAAGATTGTTGTAGAAGGTATAAGTGTATCAAATGTAAGATTGTTGTAGAAGGTATGAGTGTACCAAATGTAAGATTGTTGTTGTAGGTATGAGTGTATCAAATGTAAGATTGTTGTAGAAGGTATAAGTGTATCAAATGTAAGATTGTTGTAGTAGGTATGAGTGTATCAAATGTAAGATTGTTGTTGAATGTATAAGTGTATCAAATGTAAGATTGTTGTAGTAGCTATGAGTGTATCAAATGTAAGATTGTTGTAGAAGGTATGAGTGTATCCAAATGTAAGATTGTTGTAGAAGGTATGAGTGTACCAAATGTAAGATTGTTGTTGTAGGTATGAGTGTATCAAATGTAAGATTGTTGTAGAAGGTATAAGTGTATCAAATGTAAGATTGTTGTAGTAGGTATGAGTGTATCAAATGTAAGATTGTTGTAGAATGTATAAGTGTATCAAATGTAAGATTGTTGTAGTAGGTATAAGTGTACCAAATGTAAGATTGTTGTAGAAGGTATGAGTGTACCAAATGTAAGATTGTTGTTGTAGGTATGAGTGTATCAAATGTAAGATTGTTGTAGAAGGTATGAGTGTACCAAATGTAAGATTGTTGTTGTAGGTATGAGTGTATCAAATGTAAGATTGTTGTAGTAGGTATGAGTGTATCAAATGTAAGATTGTTGTAGAATGTATAAGTTGTATCAAATGTAAGATTGTTGTAGTAGGTATGAGTGTATCCAAATGTAAGATTGTTGTAGTAGGTATGAGTGTATCAAATGTAAGATTGTTGTTGTAGGTATGAGTGTACCAAATGTAAGATTGTTGTAGTAGGTATGAGTGTATCAAATGTAAGATTGTTGTAGTAGGTATGAGTGTATCAAATGTAAGATTGTTGTAGAAGGTATGAGTGTATCAAATGTAAGATTGTTGTAGAAGGTATGAGTGTATCAAATGTAAGATTGTTGTAGTAGGTATGAGTGTATCAAATGTAAGATTGTTGTAGTAGGTATGAGTGTATCAAATGTAAGATTGTTGTAGTAGGTATGAGTGTATCAAATGTAAGATTGTTGTAGTAGGTATGAGTGTATCAAATGTAAGATTGTTGTAGCAGGTATGAGTGTACCAAATGTAAGATTGTTGTAGTAGGTATGAGTGTATCAAATGTAAGATTGTTTTCATAATGCAACCTTTACATATAACAAAATGAAAAATATATACCGTTTTGTTGGGGTTTTTCATGACCATAAAATGCGGTCGTTTGCTTGAAGTCAAAATTTGCATATGTGCCTGTGTAACTTTGGGGTAACAATTTGACCTCAACCAACTGATCTACTTTTCCACCAGTTTACATGTGCGTTAATGATTTAAGTCAATATTTTCAAAATAAAACTTTTCAGCGTTTTAAAATTACAGCAGGATAGACATAGTAAATACAATGTGCTTTACTTTGATGTTTTTTTTTCGTCGGACAAGACATGCATTAATTATCTAGTCTCATATAAAAGAACAAGCCTGTGATGAAATTGCATCTTTTAATATCATTTTATTTCAAAAACGCAAAAACTACAATGTGTGGGATACTAACTTAATTAGATACTTTTCTGCGTCACATAAAAGTGTTATATTGACTTTCGATTTTTTTTTTATTCTTTTTTTAATTGAATGCATTGATTCATTTTAATAATAACATTACATATTTCACTCAATGTTACTAGAAATCTCTGTCATTATAATATATACGTTATTCAAAATATTCATACCGACCAGCCCATTCTATATACAAGGGTGTAAGAGATATATTTACATAGTCGTTAGTGGTTTTAATTAATTGTATCCTTGGTCATTTTTAAGGATGACCGACATGCCGCTTACAAGTGCGACTGCTTCGACGAGGCACACACCGTCTTTCTCTACAATATTCAATTTGCCCTACGATTAAAAATGCAGTTATGTTTACATTGACAGGTGCGCGGGAAATCACGTGACCGGAAACGTACTTTCGACTGTACCGTAAACGTTCTTTGCTGCGACTAAAGGCCTACGACCGTGTTCATAAAACGGTAGTGCGGAAACCGCATGCTCGGTCGTAAGCATCGGTCGTAAGATAAGATCGCAATTACGACCGTCTTTGTTGATAAAACGGCACCCTGAAATTGAACGTAATTAATTAGTTGAGAAATGACACCTATGGTTACAAATCAAATTCATTCAATGATTGTGGTATTTGACAAGATTAAAACAATTTAAAAGTTAACAACCTAAGATAACAGCACTCTAAATGGCTTGAAATAGTACGTGTACTAAATGCATTCGAAATACTATTCAGAAATCATAAAAATCTCAAACATTATAGAGGATTCTTGCTCCAAAGAACATAAAATTCACCCATACTGTTCTTATGAAGAATTCAAGCTCTTTTTATCTAAAACAATAGTCATACAATATTTTTTCAGACTATGTTGGCTAATTTGGAACGCTTTTGTGCGTCGTATTGTCGCTTTTATGTTGATACTAAATTTTCATATATAATTTATTTTCAATTGATAATTGTTATTTACAACCATACATTGTTCCTTTAATTGAAAAATATCTCCGTTGCGCCAAGAATATGTCCATTTTGCGGTCATTTTATCAGCATAGAATCCTTCAAAACAACCTATTGTAAATATTTGTAATACATATTCAAACAAACTTACTTTTTTCATTCAGTTTATCAGTTTTATTACTTAAATGTTATTTTTTTCATGAAAAAGCGTTCGTTGTGGAAAAAAAAATGTCAATTGCATTGCACCCGTTGCGCCAAAAAAAATCCGTTGCGTATTTTATTCATGTCCCTGATTCCCCATCCAAATTTGGTTCCCGTCGTGTTAGAACGTAAACTGGCTCATTGACAAGTTATTTGTTATGTAAACAAAAAATTGAAATATAAAAAGAAATTGATATTCAAACATGGCACTATCACTTATGTTAAACGTTTAGTTTAATTCCTTAAAGCTCAGTGACCTGATGTACACCAGAAAAGCTATTTTTATTAGGAAATCTGAAAATAGCGTAGTTTTGTTAAAACAAAAAAAAAGAATAAATAAATAAATAAACAAAAGCAAGCCTGAAATTTTCCTAATTGCTGAATGAACGAATGCATATCTACTAGCCGACGCGTGTACGCGGCGCCTAATGGTCTGGGTTTTTTAAGTATACACTTGCAAAGTGTGTGCCTTTTTCTAGAGTTTAAAAGATAATGCAATAACTAAATATATACATATGTAATGGGTTATAATAGGAAACATGACTTTACATATACAGAAATGGTATGCAACTTATTTCATATCTATAGTGGATCGTGCTTTACATGATATTTCATTGGTCATCTAATTATGTAAAACTATATTACAAGTCATACTGTACAATCCGTATATAAACATTGTACATATACATTCTTAATACAGTCAACACACTAAAACCCCATCAACAGTTTTGCAATGAAAATAAACAATTAAGGTTCAACTAATACATTGTACTACTTTCTCATCATTGAAAACATTCTAGTTATTCATAATATTTGTAAAGAACAAAAACTAAAACTGCAAAATAAAATGTAATAAATAAAAGATATTCAAGTTTTTTTTCAATGAATACAGGATTTATTTTCATTGAGTGGTATCAAAAGTAAATATTTCATGAGTTAGGTAGCCACATGTGAAATATAATAATGTCCATAACACTAGATAAAAAAAATCTTGTATTAATTTTATAGAAAAACTTGAATGTTTTGTTTATTATATACTTTTCCGCATTTTTAGCTACATGATTTGAAAAATATCATTTTAATACTGTGTATAGGCTTAATTTAGAAAAAAGTAGTCCGACAAGACACGAGTGAAACATACGGAAAATGAAAATTAGCATTTCATTTCATCAATATTTCTCAATTTTCGATTTATTAGTTATTAGTATATAATAAACTGGTGTACATTAATCTCGAACTATGTTACACGTGTATGCATACATTGTACAGTGTCTTTGCAGTTTTACTGTAACAATTATAATAAAAAGTTATTTAGGATAACAGTTGTCATAAAGCTAGTGACTGCCGATATTTATATCTAGTATCGCGTATTTGTGAGAGAAGATCCATTTACAAACGATGGGAATAAATTCTGTGGCTTTTAGTGGTGGAATAAATTCCGATGATGACTACATATCAAGTCTACTGTCAGTTATTTTCATCTTTGCGCTCATCTGAGCTATTAATGTTTACTGTCAGGAATTATTTTTCCTAACAAATATTTCTAACTAGCAGCTGGCACAAAAGAGTTGACGTAATTTTTTAATAACTTCTCACTTAAAGATATCTTAAAGTGGATCATTAATATTAATTTTAATGAAATTTATTTAAATATTGGAATATTCGTAAATAAGAAATATTTTTATACTCATAACCAAAAGTTATCATTCAGATATTTTGTAGGACTAACTGGACAATGACAGCTTCGCAATACTCCCATTTCCGCTCCGTGGCGGAACTTCGTGCTGGCGTTCTCGTCTGGCAGATAGTATCGCCGATATTGATAGTGTTTGGAACTGTGGGTAATGTACTATCAATTATTGTGCTGTCAAGCCGGAAGTTCAACCGCTGGTCATCGTCGGTATATCTTTTGGGGCTCGCCGTCGCCGACTTGTGTGCTCTATATATTGGATTGTTAAGACAATGGATCAAATATTCATTTGACAGTGACATTAGACACATTCACCCTGTGTTATGTAAAGTCCATTGGTGGCTCATGTACACGTGCGCAGATGTACCCGTGTGGATTTTAACCGCCATCACTGTCGAACGTCTCATTTCGACTCTGTGCCCATACAAAAGTAAAGCAATTTGCACAAAAAATCGCGCCAAAATTGTTTTAATTATGATAGTTTCATTAGCATTAGCTATAAACTCGCATTTACTGTATGGCTTTGGGAAACTTGAGATAACGATTGCAAATGAGACAACAATAGTTATTCCTTGTGCACCATTAACGGACGCCTACGAACAGTTCTTTGGAAAGGTGTGGACTTGGATTGATTTATGTAAATATTCATTGATACCATTTGCGTTGTTGAGTACAGGAAACATCTGTATCATCTACAAGCTGTTGTCGAGTAGCCGTAAGGTAAAGACACAAGTGGCGCCCACAACATCACAAACACAAGCATCATCTGGTAATGAAAGAACGTCAAACATGACAATACTCCTCGTCTGTCTTAATTTTGTCTTTATTGCATGCACTGCGCCTGTATGTATATATTTCATTGGTGAACCATACTGGATTCCAAAGGATGTGCCCAGAAATATTCAACTTCAAGACCCATGGTGGGCATTAGTCAACATGTTGATGTATATAAATAATTCAGCAAACTTTATCCTTTATTGTTTAACCGGTTCTCGTTTTCGTGAGTCCGTTAAAAAGCTTGTGTGTAAGGATACTTATAGTGGTGACGTTACTACAACAGGGGTCGGCAACACCATCAATTCTCGGTCAGCTGCAATGTAAGCTGTACTTAAACTCTGGACTGTGAACACTTTGATAAAAGGTGGTAAAATAATTGTTGTAAATGACTCATTTCAGTGAAAAATATATTTACGTTTTGTATTATTGAGTTTTTGTCCTCGACTGTTTTATGTTGTAATAAAAAACAATAAAAAAGTAATGAAAATGTCAATATGCCCATCACTTTATGGCCGGTGTAACCTTTTTATATATCTAGTTAATCAGCATACACAAACATTTATAAATAATTGAAATTAATTGAAAAAATAGTTTAATTACATACTTTAATTTATCTTTTTTCATATTTATTTTAAATGTACATGAAAAATTCATTACATAAAAATCAAATCATTAATTTGCATATAGACTGTTTAGTAAAATCTGAATTTGAAAGAAAAAATACACCCAGATGAGTGTCTTCATTACAGAGTATGATGAGATGGTCGTTTATACATCAATATAAAAACAATTATACAGATTAAAGGTATGTTCTATATAGTTGGGATAAATTGATACCATTACAACGTGTAATCTGCTTTATTGGTAAACATTTAATCATATCAGGTGAGGTAGGGAGTGTGATATTATAAAATGCAAGGACACGTTTGTATATGGTATGTTATGGCGTGAACGCACGGGTATAGAGTTGCCTCCAGTCATAACAGTATCGTACTATATATTCAACTTCGAAATATTTATCTTAAAATACCTTTTATTAATAACAAAAACTTTTTTTTAAATAGTTGTACAAATTAATGGAATTAAACGTAAAAAAATGCTTCATTGAAAATCATTTTGCTCTTATTTTAGTAGCAAACGTGATCTTTCTAATGTTATCTTGACTTCCCCTTAAAATAGACACTTATAATTTCAAAATAATCTCTTTGTTTAATATTAACCGTATATCATTTTGGTTTGTACAAAGAATATGGAGACCCAGGTGCAAAATACACAAATGATTTTATTAAGTTAAATAATCAGATACAATTATAAGTCGTAAACATAGTTTCCCCTATAACAACTTCATAGTCTTTAGCAGTGTACTTGAATGAAATTATTTAATATCAGACATTCACTTGAACCGATGCTGTCTCCTTAAGATATAACTAACATAACAAAACTATTCAAATAACAAAACATGTCCGATTTTTAGCTGCTCACTTTTTTTTGTATTCATATATGATTTTCTCACACGTTCAGTATTGTTAGTTAACTGATGTTTTATGAAGACATGTAATAAATATAAACCTTCTATATTCTCAAACAGATGTCACAAATGACGCTGCAGGCTAGACTCATCTATCTTAACTAGTTGCCACTATCTCCTATAATAGACAAATTATAAATCATGTAAATAACCAAACCATATAAAATAAAAACATTTCAATATATCCATTGTTTCATTTAATAACCTATCATTACTGATTACACGATATAATAATTTTCGGTAGACTTTTGATAAGATTCGTGAGATATACGCAGTAAATTTTTTTCATTGATTTTTTAAACGTTAATTTATAGCAAGAGACCGTATATATTCTGAGTCAATAAAATCTTACTGGTCATTTTAGGTAACATTGCAAAACGACGTATCTGTTTCACCAAAAGCGCTGCAATCAAGCAATGAGACGAGATGACTTTGGTATCTTCCTAAATTACTATAAACGTGTGTTTGAAAATTATTCCTATACCGTAATTGAAAAAAACATTTCATCTAGATAATTATGCACTTATGATCTTGTTGAGTATGATAATTAATTTCTTATAATATGTCACCTATCTTTGAAGCCATCTTAAATGTTTTTGTTTTCCCCAGTGGTGGCATATTGACACATCCTGACGTTTTTTTTCAATCTACAACTTTCAACATAGAAAGGACTGCACGCACAGCTAATTAATTCAGACAAGTTACCTCCCTTTAATAAAACTAGAAATAAAGAGGCTCAATCCAGATTTTTAATGGTTCCACAACAGATCGTACCGTACAAGGAACTGGAATGGTTGTCTCGAAAAATTCTCGTATCTTAAAGTTGTGACTAAACTTACGAGATTGCTACGGTATAACTAAGATGTCTTTATTTCATTGACTGAAAGGACACCTTAACGATCTCGTTTCTCAAACGTAATTTACGATGTCGTATATGCACAAGGGTGAATATGTGTTGTTAAAACATAACCCTCGCATGCATATTTTTGTAGTATTCTATATCATAGTTGAAATAAGTTTAAAAAAATGGCGGAGTCAAGAAAATGGAGGCCAAATTCTTCCACAAATATACTTGAGATACTTGCAATAGATCAGCAATTTTCTGACATAATCACAAATGAAAAGAAAACAAAAAATGGGCTCAAAGGTGAATTCAGTTTTGTCCTGTGAAAGAAGCTGCACAGAAGTAAGAAAGAAGTGGTGTGACGTGTGATATATGGCATAATTATGAAAATAAACAGTGTTTTATTGAATGCCTAAAGTGAAGAAAACAACATTTTTTACTGTTTTCAACGACGCAGGGGTAACAGACGTACGTAAAAAAAGATTACGTCAGACGTTCAACGTCTGCGCAAACGCTGCGCAAAAAAGTAATTCAAGTTTATTGTCACCATTGCGGTGTAATTTTTAACTGTTTTAGAAAAATATTGATATTTGAATCGGGAAAACACAACAATTACTTATTATGTAAATTACAAGTTTACTGAATAAGAAAATCATAACGTACGCCAAAGGTGATATGAATTTTATGTCACTGATATAACTCAGTTTTCACTGCACTGGAAAGCATAGATATAGATAGAGTATTTTTGTTAATTGTGAGCGAATATGCTATGTATGCTATATATATCCCAATAAAAGTGCAATATTTTCTCACTCCGATGTGTGATGTATAGCATATTCACGAATTGCTAACTGAAACATTTTCTTTTTATCTAATGCCTACAAAATGGAGAAAACGGCAATTTTCAATTGTTTTCAATTACGCGCGGGAAACAGATGAGCGGACGCGAATTTTAAACTTATAGTTATATTACATTTGCGGCGTAATTTTTAAGTTTTTTTATACAGAGAAATAATAACATTTAAATCGAGAAATATGCCATTTATAACAAAACGCTACAATAACTTATTATGAAAATTTACAAACTTACAGAAACATGCAGCAAAACTATACTAGCAATTTCTACGCAGTGATCTCCCCTTATCAGTACAATCTAGTCTCAGTGTGAGTGTTTTACTGTGGGTGATATGGATTTTATTTCACTGTTAATATGAGGTTATTATAAGTTGTAATGTACAATACTGAATTCTATTGGACTCGTACACAGCTGGAAAACTTATATTTGGCGAGGCGTTAGCTATCTGGAGTTCAATATGCATTTGATATAGAATCTTTGGACTGTAAACACGAAAAAGAGACTTGATTGAGTGACATGGATTTTTTTTACTCTTGATGAAATAAAAATGAAGCTAAATTAACAAGATGGGATCCAATTATATTCCTTATCGTAGTCTGGGATGTTTACAGTGCTTCGTAAATTAAAAATTCTTCGAGACAATCAGAAAAAATGCTACGATGGTCTTACGCAGTCAGTGTTACGATAGTCGTAAGGGAAACGAGGCTTTGGAGACAATCCACCCCTGGGGTGGTTGTCTCGAAAAATTCTCGTATCTTAAAGTTGTGACTAAACTTACGAGATTGCTACGATATAACTAAGATGTCCTTATTTCATTGTCTGGAAGGACACCTTAACGATCTCGTTTCTCAAACGTAATTTACGACATCGTATATGAGGTGACTTTGTGTAGTTAACGCATGACCCACCTAACTCGACTTTGAAGAGGCTAGAACTACGGTCTTCTGTATAGAAACTGAGGGACGTGGGTTCAAGTCCCAGATGAGGCAGTTTTTTTTCTTAGAATATTATTTATATGTCTCTCGTATCACTCTTGGTATGAAAAAGGTGTTTCATTTTAATGATAAAATTATTATCGGTATTTATTTGCTAAATTATGCCAAATTTATTATCAAATACCTGATATTTTCAAAGTCTAATAAATTAAACACTAGACGGTAAAAGTATTTTATATTTGACAAGACCAACCAATTTACATGTACTTTTAACAAAATTTAAGCAATCTTTGTAAACAGGCCCTCATTTTGGTAAATTTTAGGGATATTTTGAACAAGGCATTCCATGTAGGCAAATGGTCAAACAACTATTTAAAATGTGTGGGGTAGGGTCACATTTTATACATATTTCAAACATTTTGAGTAGAAACAATAAAAGCATAGCCTATTTTTGACATTGATGCATACATATTTTTGCACTATTTTATATCATAGTTGAAATAAGTTTAAAAAAATGTCTGAGTCAAGAAAATTGAGGACAATTTTTTCTACAAATGAACTTCAGGTACTTGCAAGAGAGGAAACTGAGAGCAAGTCACTTCTTTTCAGCAATTTTTTCTGAAATAATCACAAATTAAAAGAAAACAAAAAAAATGGGTCCAGATAATCGCAAAAGTGTATTCTGTTTCGACCTGCGAAAGAAGCTGCACAGAAGTAAGAAAGAAGTGGAGTGACGTATGATATATGGCATTATCATGAACAACAAATAATTTCTTATTAAATCCGTTCAAGAAAAGAAAACAGCAATTTCAACTGTTTTCAACGACGCGGGGGGTAACATACACACGTAACGTTCAACGACTGCGGAAAAAAGAAATTCAAGTTTATTGTCATCATTGCGGTGTAATTTTTAGTTGATATTTGAAGCGAGAAATATGCCAACCAAAAGCAACAATTATTTTTTATGTAATCTCACAACTTTACTGAATTAGGAATTAAAAGGTATGCTAGAGGTTCGCAAAGCTATTTCAGTCATAGTGTGAGTGATGGCCAGTTTTCACTAGTTAGCATTAAATAGATAGAGGATATTCAAGTTTATTCTATAAATACAGGATTTATTTTCATCGAGTGGTATGAAAATAAATATTTCATGAGTGGCGGTAGCCACGAGTGAAATATGAAAATTTTCATACCACAAGATGAAAGTAAATCCTGTATTTTATTGAAAAATCTTGAATTTTCTGTTTATTACATACATTTTTCTCTTTGATATTACAATTTGAAAGATTTACTCTTAAATTTTGTTTAAATCTTGTTGGCTGAATTTAGAAAAAGTAGTCCGGCAATACACCAGTGAAAATACAGAAAATATGTTTCACTGTAGTGAAAAAAAATAATTTTATAGTTAAAATACGGAAAATGAAAATACGCAGTTTATTGCATCAATATTTCTCAATATTTCATTTCATTTATAAGTACATAATAAATACAGCATATTTGTTAATTGTGAGCGAATTTGCTATATATCCCAATAAAATTGCAATGTTTTTTCACGTCGATGTGTGATTATATCATATTCACGAAAAACTAACTAACAGCCATTTTCATTTGTTTTCAACGACGCGCGGGAAACAGACTCACGTTAAAAGATAACGTCAGACGTTCAACTGCTGCGCGGACGCTACGTAAAGAAACGTTATTTTAAATTTAAAGTCATAATCGCGGAGTAATTTTTAACTTTTTTATTAAACAAAGAAATAATGACATTTGAATCGAGAAATGTGCCATATAGAACAAAACACTACAATCACTTATTATGGAAATTCATGAAAATTAAATGTTCGCCAAATCAAGTTCAGCAATCTCCTACGCAGTGATCTCCCCTTATCAGTACAATCTAGTCCCAGTGTGAGTGATATACTGTGCATGATATGGATTTTATTTCACTGATAATACAAGGTTATTATACGTTGTTGTGTTAAATACTGAATTTTAGCGCCTCGTCAAATATAAGTTTTGCAGCTGTGTACGGGTGCAATAAAACCAGAGTATTGTCAATGACATCTTCATTTCACATCATCAATGTTTTGACAGAACTTTGTTCATTTGCGTACAATATGGATTTGATATGTATTAAAGTGTATTAAAGATATGTGCTGGTGAGACGAAACATCAACAAACAAATGCCAGGTGATTTAACACATACAATGACGCTTGTCTGCGAAGAGCGGAAAACTATATAGATGGAAACTATTATACAGCAATGAGTGAAATAAAATATTGAACGTTTAAACAAATTCAAGAGCTAATGATGCAAGGCAAAAAAATTGTTTTGGTAAAGAAAAAAATTAACAATTGAAAAGCATATCAAGCATTTTCTTCTGTTAACTCAATAGCAATAAAACGTAATGTAATAAACTTTCAGCACACTAAAAAGAATATCAGCAGGAAACTTTAGTACCTTGTCGATCTTATGTAGTATTAAAGCGATATACATGTACTTGCTTTTTTCAAGAAAACTGGTTTACAATTGAAGGTCTTTAATACAATAAATGATAATCATATTAATAATTTGTAGTATTATACTTGATACGAAACCAAAAGAGAATTATATGAAGCGAGATACATGATCCGACATAAATGGTATTAAGAGGTTAATACACGGCAGGAGAGGGCCGGAAGGTGATAATCGGCCCGCAAAATGAATAATGGACCCGAGGGCTTTAGCCCGAGGGCCATTATTCATTCAGGGCCGATTATCACCTTCCGGCCCTACGCTGACGTGTATTAATGTCTTTAATACACTTGGTAGATCTAATAGTAGCATTTAAAAAAACAACAAAAAAAATAACAAAAACATAATCAAAACAAATAGACTTTGAAGTTCTTTCGTTGAAATTCTTGTCTACTCTTCTACTGTTCTGTACAGAGATGTTTTCTGTTTGTGTGTACCAAGAAGCAAGTTTTATTTTCATTTTTTTCGGAATGAATTTGTCGTATTATTTCTTCAAATTTCAATAGTAACAAAAATCTGTTTGTACTAAATACGCTTAAGGTCTCATAATAAAAATAAAGCGATTCGTGCTGACAACCTACTTTCACTTTTACAGTTAACTGTTTGATGACGTTAAATGTGACGTCATTGTATCAGTTTGTGCACGTGCACATGTTCTGCGGGCTGATAACTAGTTCTCGGCCCCGGGCCGCAAACTCATAATAGGTCACGTGACACTCATAATCAGTTGAAATCATAGGCAATTTTGTTACTATATATAGTAACAAGTGTATTAAATCTTTATATAGCAGTTAACACATTGTTATAGAATACAATATTATTATTTATCATATAAATAGAGGATATTCAAATTATTCCTATAAATACATGAATTATTTTCATCGAGTGGTATGAAAATAAATATTTCATGAGTGGCGTTAGCCATGAGTGAAATATGATAATTTTCATGCCACAAGATGAAAATAAGTCATGTATTTATTGAAAAAAATTTGAAATGTCTGTTTATTATAATATAAATAGAATTTAAAAGAAAGAAGTCCGTCAAAACACCAGTGAAAATACGGAAAATATGTTTCACTGCAGTGAAAAATATTTTTTACAGTGAAAATAAGGAGAATAAAAATACGCATTAATGAGCCGCGTCACGACAAAATCAACGTAATGCGTTTGCGACCAGCATGGATCAGACCAGCCAGCGCATCCGCGCAGTCTGATCAGGATCCATACTGTTCGCTTACAAACCCTATTACAAGTAGAGAAACTGATAGCGAACAGCATGGATCCTAATTAGACTGCGTGGATGCGCAGGCTGGTCTGAATCCATGCTGGCCGCAAACGCATTTCGTTGGTTTTGTCGTGACGCGGCTCATTTTATTTCATCATTATTTAATCTTTAAGTATATAATAAATGTTCATACTAAATCATAAGTCACTTAAAACTCTATCACAGTTTTTTTTCAAGAATAGTTTATAACAGTACCCAAATGATAAATTTCTTATGTTTTTATCCATATTTGGAATTATACCTATTCGAAAATGTGTCCATTGTGGACCAATCTACTTTATACTTAGATCAGAAAACAAGTTTAATAATGTCATGGTAATTAACTGACGCAGACTTTTATTATTTCTTTCAATACATACATGTATATCACAATCACAATAAAGATTTATTCTACTTGTAGCACACGTAAAGATATATACATTTAAAAACAAACACATATAGTGGTTCATTAACGATATCACATCTTAGGAAAACTGTTATTTCTTTAATGATACACAAGAAATTCATGTTACAGAAAGAAGCAGTTTGTTGATAAGGGAAAAATGTAAAACTGAATCGTTTACCAAGGGAAGACACGAACGATTAAATGTACACACTAACTAGACATACTACTTTTAAATGAATGGATTTCCTGTATTTTCCTTTTAGCATGGATTTTGCATTTATTTGAGACTGACAAACATGTTAGATGATATATCGTCATGACGTACTTCTCACTAGGCATTAAATATTTCAAACAATCCAAGAAAAGGCTTTATAAACACATAGTTGTGTTAGAACGAGGATTTGCTTCTGATGGAATCGGGCCTGTGCGGGTTCCTGAAGAAATAGAGTACTCGTGGGTAAGAATTTCCCAGTCCTCTATTTTACCTTAAATACATGTATATGTTATTTTTCTCAATTAAATGGGCACGGTAAACGACCTTGTTGGAGAAGCGGTGAGATTTTATGCAGGCACGTGAATATTTACCATGCACATCTTAAGTGTTTACGAAAAGTTCAGTAAAATCTAAATTTGTTATATTTTCATTATTTTGGAAACAAATGCAAACAACCGGTAAGGAGCAATTAGATAATTCGGTCTCATTGAAGTGTGAAATTTAAGTTTTTATTAATTTATTTCGACTCTGTAGACATTCTTTCACTCACATTTTATTATATTTGGCCCTAATGAAGTTTATTTTGTTGTTTACAAAAGAGACAGCATTTCGTATATGCATAGAGATAGATGAAGAAGTGTTGCGCGTTGAGTGTAATGCATGTTGTATGTAACGGTATACCGTTATAAAACCTAATCACGAAGGTGGCGCATCTTTGCTTCCGAAGATTTGATATCTGGAGATGTGTGATGTCAACTGATCGAGGGCATCGACGAAGTTTGGACACCACTATGTCCATTGAAAAAAACATACTTCCGTTGTCGACAAGTACTGCTACGAACACATGTTTTTTATGAGAAGATGCATGTCAAATGACTTATAGATATTGGGTCATACTACCATAATGCTTTTGTTTGTTTGTTTGTTTCATTTTACGCCTTTTCCCAACAGTATTTCAGTTATATAGGCGGGTGGTTTCCTAACCATTGTTCCTGGAGAGTTACACCAGTACTAGACTACCTTCCTCCGCGCAAAACTACCAAGGCATCTCCCGGGGATCGAACCCACGCCAGAGAGGTAACTGGATTAGGAGTCATCGACTCTAACCACTCGACCACGGAGGCGGTCCACCATAATGCATTGCGCATGTAATGGAAGTATGTGCTATGACAGCGCGGTAATGTAACACCACGAAATGATTCCCAAAAGGTAAAACGACAACATTGAATGTCGATTCAGATTGACAGACTTCTCTTGGGGTTGGAGTTTGTATGAATATGCTTGAACGATTGTTGGCTGTTCAATGGTTATGAGATAAGAAATTCTAGCATCGCTTGTGGGAATTTTCTATTCTGAAGCTAATTTCTTTGATGCTAATTGAAAGAAAATCGATAAACAGATGTTGAAAAAACATTGAGCAGATACTTATGTTCACGAAGTTATTTGTTTTATTGTCACACATGACGTAATATAAACATTCCTTTCTTATTATTAACAATATCGTATACATGTACTTTTAAAATTTGTCCAGCGGCTACTTAAACATTAACCTTTACGTAATGTGCTCGAATGCTCAGTCTATTGGAAATCGTGTGTTAGAATGTTAGTTATTGCATGTTTAAGCTCTTTACATGCTTTACCGGAAAACAAAGGAAAGCATTTTGATATATACAAGCTTATTGCTTTATATGTTATGTTCGTCATACGATACAGTAAATACATCAACATGCAATGATATGAGTTCAAACATGACAATTTAATTAGCTTCTATAGATTCCAAATCAAAACAAATGTATTGGACTTTCTCAGACAGTTAGATACAATCTGGGAAATTTTTTAGTTCAAAATAAGTGTCCATGTGAGTTATGGCTGCTTTTGAATTAATTTGAAAGAATACGTAGCAACGATATTTCCATGTTTATCAAAACAGTTCACAACAAAGGTTGACTAAAGTACAATTTTTTTATTTGATAAAAGTATTTCTCACATGCTACATATGAACGCATTTCTTTCCTGGAATAAAGCTTTTTAACTTAGATATGGAAACAATTTCGTTAACTATACACCTTAAGCTGGTCAATGTTGTAAAATATTAAGCTGTATTAAGTTATAAAAAATAAAGTTATGTTGAATAAAGAAGTCTCTTCTCACTCGTAATCAGATATAACACCTCTTAGGTTGACCCATTTCCATGACGCCCAACATCCTTTTCCGCAACAAGATCCGAGCAAACCTTTGCATGCTTTACGCATCGCTGATCTCACAAGGACAGCATTTCTTATTGGCTGTGCACACCGTTTGCTTCTTTTGATTGGACAAATGTTGACGTATGGGGACAGCCATTCTTCACTGTCGTCCATGTTTATATTATCATATTTTCGTAATTGGTACTTCCGTCTACGTCTTGACCGCTGTCGTTTTGCTTTGATTTTACATATCAAAACATCAATTTCAGCGTATTTATCTTGTATTTCTTGTTCTATCGCAAGTCTATCATCTTGGATGCATTTTTCAGTGTCATACAAAGCAAGAGAATGTTTGGATAGTTCCTTCCTCTGGCTGAGTCCTGGTTCCTTGTCTGCAACTGCGCTAAAAGATTCTGCAACATTGCCTTCAGCACCAAATGTGTTAGTTATGTCAGTAAATTTAAAGTCCTTTGTGAGCCAAGTGAAATCTGGCATGTCGTCTATTGGTATCAATTCGTCTTTATTTTGATAATTGTAGTCACCAGTACTTTTATTATTATTTACATCTCTCGGGGTGATATCTGTACAACTACCTTTATCTAAATTAACGCCCGTCTCCGCTAATAGTAAATCTTCTAATTTTGAACAATTAAGGTGTCGGGGGTTTTCGTGCTTCTTGTGCTTTTGTTTAAGACTTTCATTTTGTTGCTGTGAACGATTTCCAATTTCCAAGTTACTCAAGTCTGCGAACGTTGATTTTCCGATAAGGTCTACCAGTCTGTAATTCTGTAAATTTTCATTTTTTGCCACATCTACACTCATTTTATCTCGGCCTGGAACAAAAAGAAGACAAAAATCAAATCATGTGGTTTACTTATAATATAAAATAAGAATATAGATAATAATGAATTATTTTTTTAGACAGAAGTAAAACGGAGACCTAAATAGAGTGGTGGTTGACAAAATGAGAAGGGACGTCCCCGAGAGATATAGAATATTGAATGACGATAGGTTCAATACTGAATATATTAAACGAGTTGAAAAAAATATATTTTACTCTATGCAAGCCTCTGGCAATGAATTTAATAATGAAACTACACGAATAAAATAATTATGTTTATCAAGGACTATTTACAGTGAAAATTAATTACATTTTTATTGACGCGCATACTGACAGTATAGTGTAACGCTGATATTTAGCGCGTCTTTACGCTATGTCGATATAACTTCAATGACGTCACGTTAAAATACGTATACTCAATTTCGTTTTAAAGAATTTGTAAAAGCGGCATATGTATGTGATAAAATATTAAATTATTACATCCTTTTAAAATCTAATGATGGAACTTCTGGCAATTTTGTTCGATAACTACTGCAATAAAACCAAGAATATTGTTGACATATTAAAAAATAAAAGAAAAATAAAAAATGAAATGTTTTTCCTTTCAAAGCGAATAGAAAGGTCACAAAAGTTCGTATGAAAAATTGAATAATTACTGATAAAAATAATTAACTGACTCATCATGTCATTTTTACAAAAAAAAGAACGAATTTTTAAAAAAACATCCTAAAACTATAATTTCAAAATGGCCGTTAATAAACAAAAACCTGTTACCAACTTTTCTTTCTAGATTTAGATCTACAATGAACTATTCCATATACCATATTATTCTACAGTTTTTGTTTAACAATTTATAAATGTGTTAATTTTTTCAATTCTTCATTATTACAACTATGATTTTTTATATCAAGTTTGTTTTATCAATTCATATATCAAAAGTCTATTGTTTGAATTAGCTCTCTGTTCAGTTACAGCATAGACATTGAAGATGAATATCATTTTATTCTTATATGTAAGAAATACAATGCTTTATTATTTGTGCTATAAAGATAAGACTTACTGTATTCTGTTATAAGTTAGTTAAACTAAAAGCTTCACACATTTTAATAAATTCTTATTGTATGAATTAATATTAACTTACTGCAGTAATCTTATAAATGAAAGTTCTTCATTAAATTTAAGACTAAACTAGTAGATCTATTACTTATGTCCGAAAAAAAAATAAGTATTCTGTACTGTTCTGTTCTCAAAAACTGTTTTTCTATTGTAAGTTAATAGTTTATCTCACCGTAAACAATTCAATATAATTATGGCGTTAGTTTGCACATGTAAAATATTTTGTTAGAATTACGAAAATTTAAGAGCTACAGTAGATTTAAATTAAGATAACCAATACAGTGTGTCTCTAATCCAAATAAATCTTACATCTTATAAAATTTACTTATATAAAAAAGTGAAAGAAATATATATGTGTGATAAAGGTTACCTTTTATATTTTTGATCCATTTTCGACAAATTATCTATATAATATAGCAATTCAAAACGTTGTAATGTTGTTTCCGGAAATGACGTCACGTTAAACACAACGTCCCGCTTTTTGAATGCCGACAGTAGAACAAAAGTATATCATTAAAGACCCATTATGATCCATTAATAGAGGATATTTAAGCGTGTATTTTCCTATAAATTCAGGATTTTTTTCATCGAGTGGTATTACAATAAACATTTCATGGAATATGATAATTTTCATACCACAAGATGAAAAGAAATTTTGTATTTGATAGAAAAATCTTGAAATTTTTGTTTAATATATACATCTTTTTTGACATTACAATTTGAAAGACCCCCTTAAAGTTTGTGTTTTGACTGAATTTAGAAGAAAAGAAAAACGACATGATACCAAAATGAATACGGAATATATATAGTGAAAAAAATGTTTTTACAGTAAAAATATGAAATATGAGAATACTCATTTTATATCATCAATATTTCTCAATATTTCATTTATAGGTATATAATAAATCTAGAGGATATTCAGGTTTTTTCTATAAATACAGTACAATGTATTTATTTTCATCGAGTGGTATGAAAATAAATATTTCATGAGTGGCGGTAGTCACGAGTGAAAAATCATAGTTTTCATACCACAAGATGAAAATAAATCCTGTATTTGTAGAAAAAAACTTGAAGTTTATGTTAATTATATACATTTTCTCTTCTTTGACATCAGAATTTGAATGACTTTCGCTTAAATTTTGTACATTGGCTGTACAATATTATAGCAGAAAGTTGTCCGGCAAGACAACAGTGAAATACGGAAAATTAGTTTCACTGCTGTGAAAATATTTTTACAGTGAAAATACGGAAAATGAAAATATGTATTTCTTTTCATCAATATTTCATTTATAAGTATAAAATAAATGCTTTAAATTTCATTTTTCAAAAGCATTTTCACTTTTGTTGTCCTGTTTTATCTTCTAAAAAGTTGCTCATAGGTCCTTTACCTGAATCAGCCCTGGTTCTGTTTCTATTTGACAATAAGTAAAAATATAGTGATTTAATATTTTGAATGGAAGTCAAATTATATCTCTTTATATGACAAATAATTTCACATTCAGCGCTTTTTTCTTCAGGCGATTAACATCTAAAATTCTCTGATGGTTAACCATTTTGAACTGTTATAAAACTCAGCCTTTTCTAAAGCATAAAAATGTATTCATTTCTGAAGTAGCGTGCCTTTAAGGACTCGAATAAAAATAATTCCCAAACGTTATTCAACACAGCATTGAAACCTTTGATGAAAATTATTAGGTAGTGATACATTATGGCGACTAAAACCTGGGACAAGTCAAAGTATTTATTATCATAAACATATATACATGTTTTTCGCCACACATAATTGGCGGTTAGATTAACAAAAGTAATATAATATTGAAAAGTATGAAAATATATAATTCATTTCATTTTCATGTTTTAACAAAAGATGGGCAGTTTTAGGTACACATAAACACATACAACACAAGTCATGGCATATTTAACATATCTAATCATATACAGCATAAATATGAAAAATAGTTTAAAGAAATACATATTTTATTATACAACAACACTCTCGTTTCTCTTCTTTAAAGCCAGATAGACAAACTTTGCAAGTTTTACTTTAACAGATCTTTTGGGTGTTGACATAAGCTTATTGAATTTATTCATATAAGGCCATGTGTAATAATAATTATCTAAAAGAGTTAAACGTAATTCTCTATAAAAAGGACATATTAACAAAAAATGATACTCTGATTCAACTTGATTCATATTACATCTTCGACATAATCTTTCGCTTCTACTAACTTCTTCAATCTCTAAGTTGTGTGATGAACATCTAAATCTCGCTAGTGTTTTCATATGTGCCTCGACATTAACAGTATTTAAATAACTAGCTTGAATAAAGTTAAACTTAAATTCTCTATAATAATCTAATTTAGAAGATGAGTCTAATTCAGATAACCATTGTTGTAAATATTGATCATGGATTCTTTGAATAATTAATTTAACATTCATTTCAGATATTCTATCACAATTCCACAGGAAAGAAAAACCAAAGTCATCTAATAACGTTTTTACATTACATAACCAACTATTTAACAATGTATTATTTCGTCCCTGGGACAAAAGCTGTATATTTTCGGTCCCAGCTAAAACTAAGTTTCAAAATGAAACAAACGCTTAATAATATAATCATGGAATATTTTATTTCAACAATGGATACAAGAATATCGGAGTTATCCGACAAGCATATTGTGCTGGCATTTCCCTGTATGCTGGATATAAGTGACCAAATTTGTACTTGCTGAAATACGAGTAACATAGATAATATGAATTATATATTTAGCCATAAAACAGTTTTTATGCATATCATATTAAATTGTATAACATGGGTAATGTATTTTAATGTTTATTTTTATGCAGGTGTGCTTTACGGTTTACAATGTATATTTAGTTAAAAGTGACGTCTTACAACAATAAATCACACCTGTTTATTTTCTAATGGTATTTTATATAAATTATACATACTGACAATTCCTTCTTTAGAAAGTTGCTGACAATAGTGGCAAGCATCATAAGATGTGCGACCATTCAACAAGCATATAGTAGAACTGTGGTTTGCAGTGTGAGGGGGACAATGATAGTTTAAGTGAGGCATAGTTCCGTTCTCTAGCGCCAATCCCACAGAGTTATCTATTGCATACTGGGAGCAATCCAGCTGTAAATTTTCACCAAAGAAATGTAAAAATCCCTATTCAAAGCAGAATGTTAACGTAAAATGTCCAAAATAGTTCAATATGTAAAATATTCTGAAAGTTTTTTTGTTCCATAATACGTGACAGCATTTAATTACCTGACCAATTTTATATCACAGATATCATGTCACGACTCAATAATCAACAGAGAGCTTTTACTGTGATTCTTGTAACTATGTTTTTATTAGACATGAAATATTTTTTTCAAAGAGCAATAAAGCAATGTTTCCGGTTGAAATCAATAGTAATTCTCCGCAATTCATAGTAATTGCGTTGTGCTAAAAGTATATGATAAAAATATACGTCACGTGATTTCGCAAATAAAAAAGGATGATAAGTGTATATAAAGATTATAAAAACAGGTGAGTTAAGTTTGTAAAGAAAAACTATTTATATAGTAAGAAATAATGGCATATACCTTTGTTGCTGTGCTCAGATCATACACGCATGCGCCGGTGTGCAATACACGTACAGGTACATGCGTGTGGTGGCGACACTTAGAAACCATAAATTCACATATACTGTCTGAAAACCAAAATTTGGCGTTCAATCATTTCAAACGTTATAAGACCGAGTAAAAGTAATAATTTGATTCATGTAAAGTAGGTTATGTGTTGACTAAAATAGTGTAGCTCTTTAATAATTTTAAGATGTATACTAATAAGTCAACAAGTGCGACACATTCTCCATACATTCTCTACGAACTTTATGAAATCCCTGAGTTTTTACAGACATCTTACACGCCTACTATATAACAGTCAATTATAGAATGTGTTAGGTAGCCTACTATATAATTTATATATACATATATGTTACTGAATTGTAAAATGATATTAATTAAACTAAAAGATTTGCGCAATATTTTCTATTAATTTTCTATTTAATAGAACTTGAATGAATGTAAAATATATTTACTGTAAATGGATACAGTACGAGTTTTTCTATACAGACGTAAGAAGACAGTTTGCTCGGATAAACAACAAATTGGCCAAGGCGACGCAAGTACATTTGAACTTAGAAAATTCTACAGTTTACATTATGATTCTCACGAGAATTAAAGTTAAGCATAAGACAAATTCAACGTTAAATGGTACTATTTGATTCGTATACAAAATGAGAAGGGACATTTCCCAGAAATATTTTTTTATTCTAATGATGAAACTTGTGGCAATTTGTCCAATAACCACTGCACTTGCGCAAGGATATTGTTGACAATATAAAAATAAATTTACTGATCAACGTAAATTGGTTGTATAGCAGATCTTCCTTTATAGACCAATTCACTTTAAGATCTGGAGGCCATGTAGAGATAGGAGAACCAGCCATAAATGGATTGTCTAGTCCATATCGTGACTGTATTGTTATATGTATACCGCGTAGTGGGGTGACCATTAGCTTGTGTCATGTAGGCATAATTGCTTAAAAGGTATGTAAATAATAAAATAAGTAGTAAAGATTAAGTATTTAGGCATTAAGGAAACATTTCTGTACCTTATTGATATAAATGGGAAGTTATATTAGCTTTCACAACAAAAAAGTATAACTGTAGATAATTCCGCCACCCTTGAGGGAGTTTCCATATTGACATAATATTATACATGTAGGAAGAATTAAAACTGCTTAATAGTTTTTTCTTTGAATTAGGCATGTTGTTAGAATATGATGACTGAAATATTTCAAGCAAAAAAATTATAATGTCACTTTTTCGTTTTTGAGTTATCTGCCCCTGAATTGGACTTTTTTAAAATGGCATGTTTTTTTAAAGAATCTAAGTCCCTTTATTCAAACAGAAAAATTGTATCAGGAATAATTCATAGAATTGCATAATATTGTGTACTGTCATCACAATTAAAAGAGTTATTTGTATTAGCTATCTTATAAAGAAATTCTAAGTTTTGCCTACATGTCCATATAAAAACTCCCGAAACATCTTTAATCTTAAATACAGGTTTATGGTCTTTGTTCTTTAACGCTTCTTCCTCATTTTGTTTTTCTCTTAAGCCATGCAGGTATTTATTTATGCAATAAACGTTGAACTTGAAATTCTGCTGAAAAATCTACATAAAATTGATGCAGTATAACAGGATGGGTGATCACGTGATTTTTGCTTTACAGTATAATTGCGGAAGCGCCCATAAATGTTTGATTCATTTATGTAGATAATGTTCAATGCAGTTAATAAACAATTGATCAAATCTCTTGTTCTTTTCCACTTAGGCACAATGTTATCGCATTGAAAAATGTGTGCAATCATAACGGGAAAAAGAGCCACGTTGTATTGGTAAGTTCTGATATTGGATAATGACAGAAAAAATATACTGAAAAAATAGCAAAATACCAATTTGTGGTGAAACAAAGATACCGTAAACGGATGTCGCCCACCCAGTATGAGTAATGTTTAAACATATAGTCATAAAAGCTGTAAAATGTTCTTGTTTATCATATTACAAAGAGATTATTCCCTGCATTCATAAAAGGGTATAAAGCTTTATATCTGCTAAAAATATTGTTTGAATTTTGAAAAATTGTACAATATAAATTCGCTTATTAATTTCCTAAAGAGCAAGCGATAAATGCACAGAACATTCTATATAACAGCAGCTGCTTCAAGAATTGACCATGTAATTATGGAAACAACATAACTTTAATGTTTATAAGATTTTATGAAAACATTTGATAAGATATAGTTTAATACCCTTTAAAACTTACCATAAGTTAAATTGTTCGAAGCACAAATCTTATTTACATCATTGCTTACACATTTGATATTTGGATCGTTCACCACGTCACACGTGCTGTTTAAATTTATACAGTCTCCATAGCTGTATATATTCAACGTGTCACCTCTTTTCTCGGCTATACAAAGTGCTCTATCATATGTGCACATGGAGTCTAAAATAAAGATATCCTACCTAAAGTATAATCCACTACACACCACATTGATACTTAACAAAGAAGTACAATTACTGTATAATCTGATCATTTTAATGAAATATTAAAGTAAAGAAAATGCACCGGTTTATGTAAGAAAAACAACAGCTAATCATCCCGTTTATGTACCACCTACGTTTTCTGCTAAAAAAACGTTCATCCTCTTGTATAGGATATCGACCGAGTACGAGGTCTTTCTATTTAGGAAAGACCTGTTCACGAATTTCATGTGACACCGAGAGCGCGTAGCGCTCGAGGTGTTTCATGAAATTCGTGACCAGGTCTTTCCTAAACAGAAAGATCGATGTACGAGGCCGATATCCAACTTACACACCGTTAAAACTGTATTGGCTTGAGCAATGGCTGATCCGAAGCATTTGATGAAATGCACAAATATTATTTTTAACACAAAGCATATACAGGTAAGCTTTTATCAACGTTCTGCTTAAATACAAGATATATTTTGCATTTAAATTTGCTGTCCCCTTTAAAATCAAAAATCAAAAAAGCTAAATGTGCAATTTGCCAATAATAAAGTGAATAGATCTGTCATAGAAGGTGTGTTAAGGAATGAATAATTATGTTGATAGTATTTCGTATCAGACAATGCAGATTCTAGGACATTTGCCTCCCAGACAGTTGCCCCCGGGACGTTTGCCCCCTTTTTGCCGTTGTGATTTGTCTCTTGTCATCTCGTGTATAGATTTTTTGTATGCCAATGGAAACATTTTAGTTTCATTTATTTATGGATGCTGTTTTGACTTTCACAAATTTGCGCGAGAGTTTTTGTGCATTTAAGCACAATGAAATTTCGACAATAGGCGATGAATTATGGTAGCACACAATTCAACAATAAAGCATTTTTTTTAAAACAGGGAGGAGGCAAATGACCGCCCCTTCCAAAGATATGAGGGGGCAAATGACAGCCACTGCAAAAGGGGGGCAAACTTCCGAGGGGGCAACTGTCCGAAGGGCAATGTGTGGATACCCAGCAGACCACGAAAGACTTAAATATGTATTTTGTTGGCAAATGTGAGATACATGAACCGAAACTATTTTTATGTAGCAGATTATAAAGTGTTCTAGAATAAAATATGATCGTTCATCATAAAATGTTTTAAACTAAATCACTTATAACTTTATTCACATTTTTAAATCGTAATGAGTATGCTGTGATTTCTGCTATATAGTTTCATAAATATGAACTTGTACCGTCCATTTTGTTATATTACGAACTTAATGACAATTAATATTACTTTAAAAAATGACGCGATTATTAAATAAATGTTAAATGTGCCCTAACTTTGATATGATATCCATTATTTTTATTCAAAGATTTAATATAGGGATGCTTGAATAATTGCTTAGTTAAAAGGGTTTTAATTTTTGATTGCATTTTATGTTTTCTTTGTCTGCGCATAGGCAGGTCTATTTTTTCACGTGTATTTCATGACCGGGTCTGTCTGACTAGAACAGACCTGTGCACGTGCAAAAAATAGACCTCATAACGGACTCTATTTTGTTTAAACAGGTCTATCCGAAAAATATAGACCTGTCACAAACAATAGAGGAGGTGTGTAAAAATATATAGCCAACAATAATTAACAAACTAACAACTGGCTTCAAAATGTTTTTTATCCAAAGTGTCTAGGAAATATCGGGAATTTGTACAAAATTGGTGGGGGTTGGGAAGGAAATACGTCGTACCAACACAGTATAGATCATATGGCGACTCTTCAGCTTAACTGGTGGAGGAATACTTCAGGTGCGCTTCCGTGCGTTATTTTAGGCACGAACTAACACTTGAGTAGAACCACAGACGTTCCGTTAGCTTGCTCGAAGTAAAGCTTCCTCAAAGTCCATGTCGCGATATGAAACTTTAGCGGTGACGGTCAAGTGGTTTGAAGTCAACGACCTTAATCACTTGGCCTAGAACTAGTGATATACCTGTCTTGTGTGATACATTAGTCAAAAGATAATCGTCTATGTCACATTGTTATAAACAATGATGGAACTTAAAGACAAAACATCATCACCACCACCATCAACAAAATAATTAATACCAAAAATTTATTCATTAAGACGATCATCATCCTCATCATCATCATCATGAGAAGAAGCAGCAAGACAACTACATCATCAGGGCCAATATATTTAATTTCCCGGTCATCACCATCGTCCTCATCATCATCATGACTACCATTACCTACTCATTATTATCATATATATATAATTTATTATCGTGATAGTCATCATCATTATCACGAAAAGTATGCCTATCATCATCAAGATCTTCCACTGTAGCAAGCCAATCATCACCATCATAATTTTATAGTCAGTAGCACCGTTGTTGTCATCATTATCTTAACAAACAAGTGAAACAACCGTATCATGGTATGATCATCATCATGCCGACCAGATTCGCGGTCACTATCATCATGTCGACCAGATTCGCGGTCACTATCATCATGTCGACCAGATTCGCGGTCACTATCATCATGTCGACCAGATTCGCGGTCACTATCATCATGTCGACCAGATTCGCGGTCACTATCATCATGCCGACTAGATTCGCGGTCAATGGCGGTCAATATCATTATGGTCACAACCAGTAACAACACAATCCTTCTCATCATCACAACCAGCATCACGATCATAATCATCAAGAAAACATTATTATTACGATGACCGTCAACAACAACATCCAGTTGATTAGCATCGTCACATTCACCTATTATAAACATAGTAAGCTGTTTTGTTTGTTTCTTGTTGATTACGATGCACGTCAAAATGACAGTGGTGATGGTGATTATAATGATAGTGTTGATCAGTTGCTAGTTTCGATGATGATGATGATGATGATGAAAGAAGCAGAAATGATGAAGTAGTAATGACGATGATGGTGGTGATAATGTTTCTTGTTGATCGTGATAATGATGAAAGTTCTGATCAGGGGCTGGTAGCATGTTGATAAGAATCGTTGACGATGATGATGATGATGATGATGATGATGACGCGTGTCATTTTCGAGCGAATTTATCATCCGTGTGATATACTCAATGAACTTTTTTAGTCGTGTTGTATATTCGATCTGATAAACACGGCTTCAAAAAAGTTTCCTCCTATACCGTATACAACATATATCATCATAACATATATTACCGTATAGTATTCCATCTGTACCACATATTTTCACATTGTACATGTCACTTTCACATATCCGGTCACATGAGTCTCTACGTGAATCATACTTTTGGTTGCTGGCTCGAGTAACAGCAATATAAAAGCTGAGAACCAGGGATACGACTTGAAAACAAAACTAATGAAAATTGGTATGTATTTATAGTTTACAACAGCATTGTGACATATGTATAAATACTGAAAAAATATATATCTAATATACATACTGTACATAAAATTTACGAATGCTTATTCAAATGTGCAAGTCAACTCCATATTTATTTATTGTCGACATAGGTACATAAAACACTAAATAAATGTGGAAGATAGTAAATATACTAAGTTAAAAAGACTGTCACCTATCTTAGCGATCGGTTATCATGAAAAATGTCGTAAAAAAGTATCTTCACAGATAAATAAAAACATTAAAACGTTCTTGGATCAATATTCTCCTAGTTTAGAAATGAAATCATCCATCATAGAGAAACACAATATTTAGCCTTTTAAACATTAATACTGAGGTTTATTACTATTCTATAATATATGTTTTATATTTTTGATGTTAGATCTATATTTCAAAGAAAATTATTAGATGTTTTAATAGTTAAACAATTTAGGAGCTTACATGTCACTTTGTTCATGCTGCCGTATTATTTCGACTGAGGTTATTAGAGTGTATACATAGTCCAAATATTGGTTTATCTCGGTGTCACATGTTCTACTATTATTTATACAACCGTAATGTGACATATTTCATGATTTTCAATTTATCGAAATAGTAACAAAGGTGATAGCATAGAGTACGCAGGGTTAAAAACTAAACACGTTATTTTAAATTCTAAAAGTAATCTAGAACATTCGTTATATACGACATTAATACAAATATTATATCATCCTGTTCAGTGGTTATGGTTCATATAGATCAAACTTTGTTCAGCATTATGATTCATAGAAATGGATCATACTTTATTAAATGGTTATTGTTGAATTAAATGTACTATACTCTAATCAGTGGTTATGGTTTATTTAAATTGATCATAGTTTTTCCAGTGGTTATGGTTCATCTGAATGTATTATACTTTGTTCAGTGGTTATGGTTTATTTAAGACCAATGTTCAGTGATGTCATCAGGTGAAATGTGAAACATTTATTATAAATTGTATTCAATATCATTTACTTTTGATATATCTAGTTTGTTAGTTTTGAACCTTGTTTCTAGTACTGATAAAACTTAATCAAAAATTTATATACCGATAATTGTAAGTGGCACATTTACTTCCTGCTTATCTATGCATAAGTTCAGCAGTACTTCCGACAAGTTCATGAGAAAATGATAGCACTTAATGTTACAATATGTATCTGACATGGAGTTCAAGACAACCGATAATGAAGAGGTCTTGGACGTAATAAAGATCATTGAAAATAAATACATGTTACGCAAGCTCATAAATAAGTCAAACAAACAGAAAAAAACTGTTATAAAGCAAAATAAACAAACAAGTGATCTTTTTTTCAAAGTAAATAATCAAGAGGTATTTCATATCCAAGGCGTTTTATTCAACATTTAAATGTTCGACAAACACGAAACAATTTGAAAGCGATCACCTTTGTACATTTTTATACACTCTTGAGAGTTTTTAAACATGTTAAATGACATTGAAACTCCACTGCAGTAATTAAATACATAAAAAATGCCACATACATGATAATGTTTGTTTGTTCTTAGTAACTTTTCATTGTAACCTAATTGATTTCTACCGTTACAAACAAAGTAGAAAGATATGACAAAAATACTTTGTGTCGATAGTCTGGTTAAGGGAATGCATACTCGTACAAGAGCATGGCATCACACAGGGGGGGGGGGGGGGAGGTTCTTTAGTACAGTGGATTTGAACAATGCGCATGTATAGTTTGATTAAAAAATTGGCGCACTGTAACACCGCACTTTGGGGTCAAACGCACTTTGGGGTCCGACCCCAAAGTGCGGTAAACTTCACAGCGCACTTTGGGGTCAAACGCACTTTGGGGTCAAAATCAAGAAATTGACCCCAAAGTGCGTTGATATGCTACATATCAACGCACTTTGGGTTTTAGAGTTCTGAAGATGTCAACTGAGTTCTGCTTAAATTCTGAGTACTGACTTATTTTCGATCTGCGACACTGAAATATTTGAGGTTGAGTTCAAGATGACGGTTGATACATATATACATCAATATTTCTAAGTGTCATTTAAATGCTGATGTAGCAGTAATAAAAATATGTGTTTGATGTTTAAGTGGTAAGTGTTTTATTCCTTTTACCACTTTAAATATCTATTGTGGCTATATTACAAACTACTATATAACTTTACTTACAAATTCGAAAAATATCCTGACAGTCATTTAGTAGATAACTTTTGGTTCTATATTGAACCCCATATTAAATATGATGGGGTGTAATAAAATGCAAATAATGTCATCTCAGTGTATTTTAATTTCTACCGAAATGACTTGTAACAAGTGAGTACTAAGAAATAAAACTAACATAAATTGAATAAAGTTACGTGACGGTTACATCAAGCCTTTTTGCACATCAGTTAATGCCTTATAGTAAATTTTGGTTTTCATCCCGTAAATCTTCATGATTTTTAAATATACTTTTATATTTCCGCAACGACATACTTTCAATTTGTGGCCATTTTGGACGCCGTCCTGAGATTGCAAAATAAACTGAGATGTAAACGTTAATTTACAGCACAGGGCAGTTTATACTGTGAATCAAAATAATCTTACATGTTATTTTGGGTATTATAATACTGCACGTTTGTAACGTCGCTTTTCATTGGATAATCGTGACGTTTATATAATTTTATATACACGGTTGTTGTCGATTCATAAATAAATCTTACTTTTTTCTCTAAAAAATGATGCTTGCTGTATTATAAATTCGTTATAAAGATTGCTGAAAGGTTATATGGCCATATATAAACGGCTGTTTGCAATATAACCCTCGCCTAGCGGCTCGGGTTATATTTACAAAAAGGCGTTTATATAGGGCCATATAACCTGTCAACAATCTTTATAACTAATAATGAAAACGTGTCTGTTTGATGAACCACCTAAAACCGCTGCCATTTTAAAATGAGACGATATGTTTTTTTTCCCGAAAATTACAAAATATACGTGATTGAAAATAATTCCTGCCATAATTGGACTTGAATTTCATTTAAATAATTATAAACTTATGATCTTGTTAGGCATGGTGAATTCTAATAATATTGCATCCATCTTGGAAGCGATCTTGAATGGCTCATTTTTTCCAGTATTAGTACGTAGTGGCAGCTTGACACAGCCTGAATTCCTTTCAATGCAAGTCTTTTTTCTACAACATAGAAAAACTATAAGTAATCAAGAAAGGTTACCTCCGTTTAATATAACTAGAAATAGAGTAAATCCAGATTTTAATGAGTCATGAAAAGGATCATATCGTATAAGGGACTGGATTTTAATTAGATGGAAATACGTATGACATGCAATTTCTACAATTATCGCTAGTTCATGAATATGTTATCTTATGTATGATTACACACAATACACATCAAGCATATCAATATATCTCTCAAGCCAATATCCTATGGGACAATTAATTGAATATAAAACATATAATTATAATTAATTGCAACCATTAGATATAACAAATTAAAATAAGCAATCGTCTGCTATTGTTAGCCAACTTAATCCATTAAGCCTACTTTGTTTTACGATTGGCATCAACTACAAGATATTATTTTAGAATATCACTATAATTCGTTCTTATTGATTGAATTTTATAACCCCAAAGTGCGGGCGTTTGTCTGATGTCAAAAAATTCATATGTACCTGTGTAACGCACTTTGGGGTCAAACTTTGACACCAAAGTGCGTAACGCACTTTGGGGTGGCACCCCAAAGTACGTTACGCACTTTGGGGTCGAACCCCAAAGTGCGTTTGACCCCAAAGTGCGGTGTTACAGCGCACACATTTTTCTGATATAATTTTATGTATGCCAACTGTCTTCCACCAGAAAATTCAACACATAGCGTTGATTCAAATCGTTTAATGTCTTACTGCTACAAAAAATGTATCTTAACCAAAATTAAGTTCTTATTGTGATTTGCGGCGGTGATGCTAACAGTAGATATTGAGGCAAATGGAGACTTTTTAGCTGGTGAAGATATTTAAAAAAGAAACAATGCTTATGACTGTCGAATTTTACAGGCTGTTATAAGTGTACGCTAACTGGTAGTAACTATGACAACATGAATTACATGAATATCTGTAAAGGTTGTCCAGTTGTGAGTTATCTTATAGTCTAACAAGATAATTTTATCTTTTTTTTCGTGTTTCATTCCTTTTCAAAATATTATTACAAGAGTTTCAAGAGTTTACTTCAGAATACATCTAGGCAGTATGCCCATGCGTACATAGTACGTATATCCACCGTGGGTAAGCAACTTTGGTCATGAGAAATACGGGAAATAAAGCATTCAAAGTTAACTTGATTCTCTAAAAGCACAGTGTACCTACATTTTTGCACGGAAATTGCATGTTCGTAATTATGCCCAATTAATATGATCATATTATATATCATACAGACGAAACTATTTAGAGAGGCCTTCTTTGAGCGATCGGCGAATTTAATGCTCGTTAATGTGATAAAGACGGTTTGGGTTAAAGCAAATATGATAAAAATTTAAAACAAAACTATTTCGGACTAGATTTTCAAAGTTCTTTGAGAATGTTAGTAATGTATCTCATTTTGAACCGCAGTCATAAAATGTTGTTTTCTGTTTTTAACCGCATAAAGTAGAATGAATATTTTTTAAGTAAATGGAAAAAAGAACAATTTACAATCTTACAGCAACATAGAATCCTTAACTTTTCTGTAAAAACTGTAATTGTTAGATCAAGAAAATTTCTACTAAGTATTAGCAGCTAATTAACTAATACATCTAATTTTCATCTTCAAAAGGACAGATGAAAAAAGTATTATCATCAAGATTTAAACTATGTGTACCTGATAACAAGACTACTTAAATGCCTAACTCGTAGATCTTCTAAAAAAACTCTTTGACCCTTAACATCAGTCGTCATGAAAGCGTCATATTACAAACAGTTCAGATCCAATCGATGTTTCTTTAGACAAAAGCAACGCATTTTTCACTCCAGCAACAAAATAAAATACAATATATATAATATATAACAACGTGTTGTGAGGTAACTATGTGTAGAACAGTTGTCAGTACAGTATACTTACGTAGATGATGTGTTGCATAATCTTACGATTTATCTTAAGTTTTTGACTTAAGATAATCGTAAGTTAAATCTTAAGTCATTTTCACAAAGACACTCGTAAGTTAAAATTTTATCTTAAGATAAAAAATTCACTTACGATAAATCTTACGATAAAAACAACCCTAGCAACGTTCATTTGATATTGAAGTGCGTGCTCTTTATTTGATTCCGGTTTTAAAATCAAGTAATAAAAAGCTTGAAATATGTATTGAACACAATCAAATTTCAATAAGTACAAAAAAATGATTCAAACTAGAGTATCTAATATATTTTCTATCTTGATTGAAAATTATTTTATCTGTACGAAATCTGCTGTGGTCATAGTTCCCTGCGGTCTGGAGACCGCAGGGTATTGGTACGCGTTTTACTTTTGAGGCATGGAGGAGCACGTGACCTGTTTTCGGTACATAGAGGAGCATGTGATCTGTAAACCGTACACGATTGGTTACTTGAC